TTCAAACTTAGATGAATGGTATTTTTTTTTTTTCTTCAAATTGTCATTTGATGTGAATGCATAAAGATGGGTTTTAAAAGCCCTATTGCTTAGGGATTAAAGCCAACTAACTGGAACAATTCACTTTTGAAAAAAAGAGAGAGAGAAGCTTGCATTTATTTGATTGAGACAGATACACTTTAATCCTTAGGACTTCTGCTGGTAGCCCTCGAATGGTTCATCTCTCTCCATTTGCATCAAGAAGAGTGACTTTTAATTGTGCACAAATGAGATCTCACAACTCCTGTAAGAAGTGAGACAATGCTTGCAAGGCAGAGACAACAGAGGGGGAAAAATTTAAATAGCAGTCATTTTTATTTTGGCTTAACAGATTTTAGCAGAAAGACTCTGAATATGAATCAGCTTCATTTTTAAATCTTGAAGAGCATTTCTGAAGCAGCCCATGAGATGCTACTTTCGTGAGAGGCAGTTTAAGGAAGCCGAGAATAACAAGAAAAGAAATCACAAAATGTGTTTGGACATTATAGAGAAATTTTTTCCTTTTTTTACAAATTCTATTAACTCCATTCCCATATCCTATTTGCTTTTATATTTCTACATAACACTCTTTCTCAATTTTCAGAGGTTTGGAAGGGGTGGAGGTACTGTAAATAGCAGGAAAAGTTTATAGTAAATCAGTATTTTTTGGTCATGCTTTAATTCCAACAATGTAAAACATATCACAAGCACTTAATAATTAAGGCTATGCAGAATTCCTCTCCACAGAACTGATTCTTCTCAAGGGTTAGATTCTAGTCCCTCTTTGATAATTGGGGTAACACTAGACAAAGTAACTTCTCTCTGGGACTTCTTTATGTGTGTGTGTGTGTGTGACTTGGGTGAACTTTACAGAGCAAATTGGTTTTCCATTCAACAATCCTTACACATTTTGTTTTGTGACTTTCATTGCAATGCCCACAATGCAAGAGCATTCTTCCCACATCCTCCTTGTGCTGCTCATCCCTCCCCTACAGCCTTCCTTCCCACTCCCGTCCACCTCCTTGCTCTGTTGTTGTTGTTATTTGCCATCGAGTCGGCCCCGACTCATAGCAACCCCTCCTTGGGTTTCCGAGGCAGTATCACTACGGAAGTAGGAATGCCCAACCTTCCTTCCGAGGAGTGGCTGGTGGGTTTGAACCACCAGCCTTCTGGTTAGCAGTCAAGTGTCTTAGGCACTATGCTACCAGAGCTCCTTGCTCTATCCCTGGACAAATGCTGCCTTCTTGATCTCACATGGTTGATTGTTTCAATGAACGTATATCCTCCTGGTATCACGGTTCACCTTATAGGTGTATCAATCGGCTGAAAGTTTAGCTACAGGGTTGTAGTTCCTAGCTTGAAGGGTGTCTAAGGGCTATAATCATGGGAATTCCACCAGTCTTCATCTGATCAACAAGCCTTTTTTTTTTTTTAATGATTTTTTTGTTCTATACTTTCCTCCCACTCTATCTGGGAACTCCAAATTGTGAACCCTTTCACAGCCATCAGTAGTGTCAGCCAGCCACCATCTAGTTCTGGTCTCTGGGACTTCTTAAAAGACCACTAAAGAAGGCATTTATTTCCACACTCAAATTCTGTACAATATACAGAGACCTTAAGGATCCTGGAAAACTATTAGAAACATGGTTTCTAGAAGCGAAATATCAACAGAGTACCCAGCTACTTAGATTTCCTGCAGTTAGAACCTTTAAAGTGGCCTCCACCATATTTTTCTGGCCAGTAAGAAAGCTACTTAATGATGCATGGAACTAATTACTATAAAATAAGACTGAATCTGTACGGTAGCTATTCACAACGTGGAAAATCACACTTTTTCATGCTCTATTTTCTTTTAAAATGTGTGCCCTTTTCCCATCTTTAACGTGTTCTGTATATATAAAATAAATACTCTTCACAGCAGGACCCTGGCTTGGAGGCCTTAAAATCCAATAAAAGAGTCCTGTAGTTTAATGGTCCTTAAATGCTCAACATCTTTTTCACTTAATGTAAAATCCATCTGATCTAATAGCTGTGACTGAATTATAGATATATAATTTTTTTCTATTAAATGTTAATCTTCTGACTTGGCAGAGCAATACAAGCTCTAAATTATTAAGAAGGCAATAGCCTCTCTAAACTCTTTTCAGAATTCAGAATATTCCCAAGACCGTTATCTTGGGGGTGGGGTTGCAAACCTACTTAAAATATAGAATAAAAATTGAGCCCAATAAGTGTAACAGTTTGGTTCCAAATATCAATTAAAAGGGGTATTATTTGTATTGTTGTCTCTTGTTATTTCATTTCAATGGAATGATATACATGTGTGTGTATATGCACACACATATATACATATGCAACCCTTGCAATTCTTGCCTTTTTCATTTACATATGACATTTTGTAACCTTCCCTTTTGAGTAGAGTTCATTCATCATCGATGTTTGTTCCTGCAGGCATAAATAATGAAAATGCCCTATGAGAGAGAAGTGGTACCACATGCCCAATTATGCTAACACAAGCGCTCTCACTGCCCAGGGAGTCTTGCTGGAATGCCATTTTGCTGCAGCCTTCCTTTTTTTTTTTTTAAATCTCCACGTTCATGACTCACTTGAGCCAAACATCTGTACATACACTAAGCATCACACACCATGTTAAGAAGGTTAATATTTACCTGGGGAAGCTGATCTAGGCAGTCCTGATTCAAAGAACCACAAAAATGAATGAGCTGCCACTGAGTCGACTCCGACTCATGGCAACCGTGTGTGTGCCAGAGTAAAATTATACTCCACAGGGTTTTCAAGGGCTGATTTTTCAGGTTTCCAGGTCTTTCTTCCAAGGTGCCTCTGGGTGGACTTGAACCACCAACCTTTTGGTTAGCAACTGAGTGCTTAAAAGTTTGCCCCACCTGGGGACTCCTGATTGAAACAGCCAAGACAAAAAATATGGGAAGTAACTGAAATTTCCAACAATAAAGTCTTAGGGCCAGTTTAGTCATCAGTTTGGAGGACATTATTGAATGAAGTGAGAGCCAAAATATCTTTACTATTTTCCATTTTATATTTGGTGCACCATACAGTCTATGGTGCAAACTCTGTCACTGTTTACCTTTGGCTTCTCTTCTCTCTCTGAAAATTATTCATAGTATTTAGTGGCGAGAAGTAAAGTGTAGGCTCTTTTTCTCTCTGCCAGATGTGTATGATCATGTCCTGCACGTTCATCAAAGGCAATTTGCTTTCAGTCCCTAGTTTGGGACGAGGGGTACTACTATTACTTTGGAATATAGAACTTTCAAGAAGACAAAAAAGATCACCACAAGGTTGGAGAATCCAGTGATGAGGAAAATAATGAGGCAGCAAGAAGTACTTTTTCTCCTACCACAAGGAGCTGATGTGAAGAAAACCTCGCAACTGCTGCTATCTAATGCTGGATATTAGTATAAGCAGGTGCTGCTAAAGTATGAGGTCATTGGGACCACCAAGAACTAAACTGAAACTCTTCCCTTTCCTACTCTGAAAGAAGAGAGCCAGGGAACATGAAGCATTCAGACAGGCAGGGAGCATGTGTGGAGGACAGTTTTAGGTCCTTGTTGGAGGACAGCTGGTAACATCAAGAAAAAAGTGTTCATGTTCTAAGGCTGCAAGATTTTTAAAGCAATAATGAGTCAATACACTTAGAATAACAGACAAATGTTAAATGGATAAAATTTGGTTAGGGCCAAGAGAAACCGTTTTTAAAAGCAAAGTATGACAAAGAGTAAGCCAGCCTCATCTGGACTCTCAGAACAGCACAGAGTTAATAAGTACAGTCACTGTAACAGCAAAATTTAAGGTGTTCATTCCATGAATATGTGATCTTCTGTTAACAGACAATTATGTTAAAAGGCATGAGCTTTTCTAATTGAAACAGAACAGAAAAACAAAAGAATGGGACAGTAATAAAGCTTCAACGAAGGACTGAAATAGGAATTTAATGATTCAGAGAGCACTCACATCTTAGTCAGATACCATCCCTCCTCCTGGCCACAAGCACAGCCCTTATCAGCCATCTGAACACAGAAGAGCAGTGATCAGCATCTGCGTCCCACTTGCTCACTAACCAAAGCGCTGCAGTCGTCAGTCTTGTGTAAGTGCAATCTCTGCCTTTGAGATCAGAAGGTGAGTGAATGCAACAGTGGGATTAATTCAAGGTTCCTTGGTATTTCACTCCAGCTAGCGCCCATCAAATGGCTATCACCATCCGTACTTGGGACGTCATTGTTTCCTACTCCAGATTTTCCACAGGCAGCAAATAGACTGGTTTAACTTGCAAATCCCTTACAAGGATGTTCAAAGAACTATGCCACAGATAATGTTTTATTGAGGATTGAAGATGAAATAATACATAAGCTTCCCTTCCCACCCTAATAAGGAAAATACAACACTTAAATGTCAATGTTCAGTACAGAACTTTGCTCTACTCAAGAGCTTTTCAGTAGGTGACCTAAAGCTTGTGAAGCAGAACTCAGGCTGAAAGGCATTACATGTAATGATTAAAGAAACTGAATGTTGCTTATACAAACTATGTACATCTACCTAAAGAAATAAAAATTTAATTCATTTTTGACTTTCACTGTTGTTTCTACACTGAAGAAACTCGATGGTTTAACTCTTTTGTGGGAAAAGCAATTTTGAAGGTGCTTTGTCCCTGTTCAGGAACTCTGGTGGTGTAGTGGTTAAAGCATTCAGCTGCTAACCGAAAGACAAGGGGTTAAAACCCACCAGCTGCTCCATGGGAGAAAGATGAGGCAGTCTGCTTCTGTAAAGATTTACAGCCTTGGAAACCCTATGGGGCACTTCTACTCTGTCCTATATTGTTGCTATGAGTTAGAATTGACTCGGTGACAGTGGGGTTTTTTCCGTAATTATACATAAATGGGACTGAAATCTTGTAGGGTTTATTGCTAAGGTACATTTTGTGATTAAGAAAACTTATAATTTAGAAAACTAATTTTAGAAAACTTTAAAAAGAAATCATTCTTTCAGTTTATCTGCTAACAAATTAGTAATTTTCAATCTGCGTGGTAAGCAACATATTAATAAAAATAACATACAAACTTTCTTTAATGTGATGTGGTTAATAAAAATGGTTGGTTACATTAGTATATTTATCATAAATGTCTGATTTGATTATCTTCTTGCTATCTGTCTATAGTCTTACAGTTTACTGTACTATTATATTTTTGTCTACAACTTTAAAGATCTATTTTCTAAAATCAATATTCTAATGTTATTCTGAAAAAAAAAACAACCCTGCATTTCACATTACTAATCCCATTAGTGCAATTTTCCTATAAATAAGTGCAAAACATTTGGAGGATGCATGAATAATGAGTTCTTGGTTACTATAGTAGCAAATGTCAAAGAAACTGCTAAAAAAAAAATGTCAAAAATGTTTTGACATTTTGAGAAATCTAGTATACCATTTATCATAGTTCTTTAACTACTGTGGCAAGAAAAGTCAGCACAAGTAAACATTAGGATATTGTTGTGGAGATTATGAGGCAATTTGATTATAAAGTCCTGATATATTCCACCCCTGCTGTTCTTAATCTAAATGTAATTTAGTACTGCAAACCATTTATGAAAAGAAGTGTATATTAAAAAAAAAAAAAGGCAAAGAAGTTACTAGCATAAGAAGAAAAAAATATCTGTACCTCCAAACAAGTCAAAGGCACTCATTGTTACTTCAATAAAGATGTAACTTGGCCAGCCAAGTTACAATGCATTCCTCAAAACCACATTAAGTCTCATGGCTCGAATGAGGATCTGAAAGGTCTTTTGATCCACTTAGAAATGGCCACCAACCAAATTAATTTCTCTGAAAGAAATCTTCAAACAATTATTTCAGCCCAAACCTTCTTCATATAGACCTACTCATGCTTTATTAGGGACTCAATGGTTTAAAAATATATTGTCAATCCAAGGCAAAGTGTTATGCTGTTTATACTAAGCTGTAAAATTTACATATATAGAATATAAGATATGAACTGATATTGAAAAACTCAGTAGCATATTCATCTAATTAAAAAAAAAATCTACTGATGGAATAAAATATATTTTATTTATAATGCTAGCACAGTGAGGCCCAGCAAGGCTGTGTTGCACACAGAATGCCCAGCACCAGCAGGATCAAGCCAACAGTGGCTGCTCAGTACTAAGTGCTAGCACACAAGCCCCTGCCGCATTTGTATGATCTGAAGTAATGCTGCCTGGACATCTTCATCCATGTGACCCTTGAGAGAAAGAAGGGGAGAAACATTTTATGTCACCTTCATTTACACAAGAATGCTAAACACAAGGCTTTATAATAGAATGTAAGCAGCTATTAGTCATCAAATGCTAAATCCTCATCATTCTGAAGGAATTATTGGAAAAGGGAGTAGCTCTCTACAATGGAAATAAAGAAAGTCAATTTACAAGTGGTGCACACCCTTGCTCTTAACATCTGCTATCAGAAAAGAGATGGACAAATCTCTCTCTCTTTTAAGGACAGCCCTAGATGACAGGGGCAGTAAAAGTTATAAATCAGCAAAGCAGACTACGAGGAAATATTTTTTTGCTCCTGCCAAGGATTTTTTTTTTTTATTAGACAAGTCACTTATGAAAAAATTCCCATATGCATATTTTTATATAAATAGGATCATATAACACAGTATTTTGGCAACTTGCTTTTTCACTTGTCACAGAAAATTCTCCCTAAAGTTACCTTATTATTTTAGATTATTGTATAATATTCCAATGTATGGAGGTATCATCCTTTCTTTACCCATTTCCTCAATGATGAACAGTTAAGGTATTTTCTGATTTATGGATAGATTCCTGGAGAAGAAATTGCTGGATCAAACAGTAGGCTCAGCTTTTAACTTTGCTCAATAATATAAAATCACCCTCAGAAGAGAATGTAACAGTTGACACTCCCACCCATAGGGTATATGGATAGGCTATCATCCTGTTTATTACTGCCAATCCTACAGGTAAAAAATAGTACCTACTCATTTATTTGCATTCCTCCTGTGACTGGTGAAGGAGGTCTGGTGGTGCAATGGGTAAGGAAGGCATTTGGCTCCTAACCTTGGTGGTTCAAACTCACCAGCCATCTACTTCTGTAAAGATTTACAGCCTTGAAAACCCTACGGGGATCACTATGAATCACAATCCACTCAATGGCAGTGGGTTTGGGTTTGGTTTTTGTTACTGGTGAGGTTGAGCACCTTTTCATATGCACATTGTTGTTGTTGTTGTTGTTATGTGCTGTGGAGTCAGACCTGACTCACAGCGACCACTCCTTGGGTTTCCGAGGCAGTATCACTCCCCGGAAGTAGATTGCCCCATCTTCCTTCCGAATATGCACATTAGCCATTCGTATTTACAAAGAAACATTTCAAACTTAAAAAAGATGGCAAGAGGTTGATTAAGTGCAAGAAGTCAATATGATGCCCCCCCTTTTTGCTTGAGCACTTGAAATATTTTCTATTAATATAAAAAGTTTTGTTTCCAAAATCTGTTTCTGTAACAGCAGGATATTTAAATTTCGAACATTAGCCATAGTTGACTAAGCTGAATTCTTAGTTAACTTTATGATGCCAGAAGGCAAAAGTATTTCAGTTGCCAATTGTTTGTGTTATGTTTCATTGGGAATCAGTAGACAGGCTTGTTAGCTTTCAGTGTCTTTCAGGCAAAAGAGTATGCTCTTCCTCCACTGGCCAATACCTAATCCTAGTGAGTGCCTTGCCTTCTCTGATGAAGGCCGCCTATGTTTTTATACTATTTTCCCTCCTAAACTCCTTATAGGAGTCCCTGGGTAGCACAAGTGGGTAAGTGCTTGACTATTAGCTGAAAAGCTTGCCCACCCAAAGGTGCCTCAGAAGACAGCCGTAGAGATCTGCTTTCCAAAAGGCCACAGCTTTGATAACCCTATTAAGTAGTTCTATTCTGCATACAAGGAGCTCTGGTAGCGTAGTACCTAAGGCATTTGACTGCTAACCAGAAGGCTGGTGGTTCAAACCCACCAGCCACTCCTCAGAAGGAAGGTTGGGCAATCTACTTCTGTAGTAATACCATCTCGGAAACCCAAGGAGGGGTCGCTATGAGTCAGATCCGAGTGGACCGCAAATAACAACAACAACAACATTCTGCATACATGAGGTCATCAGGAGCTGCAACTAGCAAAAACAACAAACATACTCTCCGTGTACGTCCACCAATTGTCTTCTTTAATAATGGCAACCAAACCAAAGCCAATCCTACTGCCATTGAGTCAATTCCAACTCATAGCGACCTCCATTGGGTTTCTGAGGTGGTAAATCTTTATAGAAGTAGATTGCCCCGTCTTCCTTCAGCGGAGCAGCTGGTGGGATTGAACCGCCAACTTTCTGGTTAGTAGTCAAATGCCTTAGGCACTATGCCACCAGAGCTCCTTTAACAATAGCAATACACCTTCAAATCCCAGCTTATCTTCGATTTTTTCAAAAGAGAGCAGCCCAACATACTTTCCTCCATCATACCAGTCACCCTTTTTCATGGGTTCCCTCTCCAACTTCTCTAGAAAATGCAGACTTTTGATTTCAGAATTTTAGGTCTTAACATTTCTTCCTTTGTATTAGTTTGCCTAGTTTTTTTTTTTTTTTTAATGACCTTTCTTTGAAGTTTTCTCTCAAACACTTATATTTCTTTTTGTTTGTTTTTAAAACAGTGGCCTGACACACTTCTGAAACAATTTCTATCATATCTCACCTACTGTTTCAGCATATGTCCCTTTAGGACATCTTCTTGAAAAATCTTTTCTGAGTATTCTGGAGATGGGTTTCTATAGAGCAGTTTAGTAGCCTTCATATTTCAATCATTTTTTAGTATGACTTTCAAAAAAAAAAAAAAAGCTTTCTAAGCATACCTTCAAAGAAAGGATGTCTTAACCTTATGCTTCACTGAGTTTTAAGCTTTAAATAGATGACCTTCTAACCAAAAAAAAAAAAAAAACAAGACTCGCTGCCATTGAGTCAATTCCAACTCATAGCAACCCCCTTTGGGTTTCCAAGGTGGTAAATCTTTACAGAAGTAGATTCTCAGTCTTCCTTCCGTCGAGTGGCTGGTAGGTTTGAACCACCAACCTTGTTAGCAGTCAAATGCCTTAGGCACTATACCATCAGAGCTTCTTAACAGAACCATCATTTCCCTTAATGTTATGCATATCCTACTTGTCATTTTTGCACTTTAATAAAACCCTCTACATTTTAGAGGAATACTCCTAAGCTATTAAGAAACATATGAAGTCCTTTCATTCTCCTTTCTTAGCTGACAGCCACACGAAGATGTTGCAGTATCATGCCCGCCAGCAACACCATTAATGTGTGCTGCCATCATTTGTTGCCAAACTGTCTACAGACTGAGTGACAAGCAGATGGAGACAACACTAAATTTAAGATGCTGTGTTGCCATATAGCTTTGTAAATTTCTCTGGGAGATATGCAATCATGATTAAAAGAAATGAAATTATTTTTTAAATAGCATATGGGGTATACAAAAAAAAAAACCAAACACACTGCTGTCAAGTCAGATCTGACTCATAGCGACCCCTCCTTGGGGTTTCCGAGGCAGTATCACTACGGAAGTATATTGCCTAACCTTCCTTCCAAGGAGTGGCTGGTAGTTTTGAACCGCTAGCCTTCTGGTTAGCAGTCAAATGCCTTAAGCATTATGCTCCTCTAAAATGATTTCCTTTCCAAAACAGAAACAGTTCTTTACCTGTGCAGCACTAAGAAGATGTGTCCGATAAATTGCAATTACTTCTTGGTGCTGCCTGTCAGCATCCTGGAAACGTAAAAAGATGGAAAGATCAGAAAATCAGCATTCACATTACCAAATGCATGGAGGTTTATAACAATGCTATCCTCAGGCCTGATCCTTAAACACAGTAGTATAATTGAAGTATTCTTATTACTTCTATCAAACCACTTTGGACCCACCAGATAAAAAATTATATAATAATAAACCAAAAAACCAAACCCACTGCAGTTGAGTCCATTCTGATTTAGAGTGATCCTAGAGGACAGAGTAGAACTGACCCATAGGGTTTCCAATGCTATAAATCTTTAAAGAAGCAGACTGCCTTATCTTTCTTTTATAGAGTGATTCGTGAGTTTGAACCAGTGACCTTTTGAATAACATGACAACAGAATCAATTTTTCTGAAGGCTGCATAGGAACACCAATAGTGAAACAAATGTATTTGGCCTATGTAACATGAAATAATTGCCTTAGGTTCACATCTAATGCCACAAACCTAGTCCAGACACTTATTAGCTAGTACCTTTGATTATGACAGAAATTTCCTATTTTGTCTCCCTATCTCTAGACAAGGAGCTCAGCTGCTAACCAAAAGGGTAGCAGTTTGAACCCACCAACTGCTCCATGGGAGAAATATGTGGCAGTCTGCTTCTGTAAAGATTTACAGCCTTGGAAACCCTATCGGGGCAGTTTTACTCTGTCCTATAGGGTCACTATGAGTTGGAATTGACTCGATGGCAATGGGTCCAGCATTTTTTTTTTTTTTTTTAAATCTCGAGATATCACTCCCTACGATGCTTCCAAGACTGAAGTACCTCTTTCCAGACATCACTTTGGCTCAAAAACCTTGAGTGACACCTCTTAATATATGAGAGAGACTCTAGATTTCTCAGCTTGGTTCTTCACATCTGCCACAATTTGGTCTCCAATATGCCTGGCCAGCCTTCCACTGCCTGTAGGGCATGCCACATTTATTTCACCTCCATGCCTTTCTTCACACGATGTTCTTTGCTGGAAGATCGTCTGTTTTCTTTTCACCTATCAAAACACCATCTATCTCTTACAAGTTCAGGCTAGATACTCCCTCTTTGAAAGTACCTCCCAACCAATGAGTCATCTTTTCTTCCCAGGAAACCGTATCGCTTTAAAATCTGGGACTGCATTCTCAATTCTATATTTGACATCTCTTATTTTACTTTTCATGTATCTGTAGTTTGCCTCTCTAACTACCCACATCTCTTTGGGATAAACGAAAAAAAAAAAAAAACCCAAACTCACTGCCGTCAAGTTGATTCCAACTCATAGTGACCCCTCCTTGGGTTTCTGAACCACCAGCCTTCTGGTTAGCAGTCAAATGCCTTAGGCACTACGCCACCAGAGCTCCCACAAAGCCCTAGTGGCAGAGTGGTTAAAGAGCACTGCTGACTTAAAAGTTGATGGTTCAAACTCATCAGCTGCTCCATAGGAGGAAGATGTGGCAGTCTGCTTCCTTGGGATAAAGCATTGTATATTCTCTTTATCCCTATAGTGTTTAGCATAGTGTCATGAACATAAATACTTACAAATAAATATTTACAAATATATAAGGGAATACTATATCCTGTGGAAAAAATCTAAATCATCATTAATCAATTAATGAACAATTAATTGTACATCATTAATCTGTAGGCTAGCAGTGTTAAAAACACACACTTTGAAAAATAACTTTCTTCTATTCAAAAGCAATTAATAATCAATTCCTGTAAGATAGAAAAATGCTAGCATCAATTTACATTTGATTGGTGCTAAGTTTTACTTACTTAGCATTTTAATGCACATTAGCTCATTTAATTAAAAAAAGCAAACAAACAATCAAGTAATTAGTTCTTACTAACGTATTTGGCAGATGAGGAAGCCAAGGGTTCAAAGTTATGAGGAACATTCCATGAGTCATTAGCTTTTAAGTGGCAGGGCTTGAAACTGGGCTCTAAATCCACAAGCTTTCTTTTCATATATATCCAAGGACATAAGGTATAAAGCCATACAAATGCCTATGCTTATTACTAAAGAAAAAAGAATTCTAAGAAAATTTCCTTTATTTAGTGGATAAGTATTTTAGAGAAGGTACTGCAGTGGGGAAGATACTGGATTTGGAATCAAGTATTTTAATCTTTGTTTCTTTAAGAACTAAATGGGGGAGTAGAACTTGCCTTCTAGGATTCCACTGAAGATAAAGTTTAGGGATGAAGCATGTAAAATGTTTAGTGAGATGACTGGCATATAAAAAAATCCAAGACTTTCAAGTTGATTCCAACTCATAGCAACCCTCTAGAACAGAGTAGAACTGCCCCCTAGGGCTTCCTAGGCATTTAATCTTTACAAGAGCAGACTGCCACATCTTTCTCCTGCAGAGAACTTGGTAGGTTCAGACTGCCAACCTTTCAGTTAGCAGCCAAGTGCTTAACCACTGCATCACCAGGGATCTTTTGGCATAGACCTAACCAAACCCATTGCCATCGAGTCAGTTCCAATTCATAGCAACCCCCATTAGGCTTCCAAGGCTGTGAATCTTTACGGAAGTAGATTGCCTCATTTTCCTTCCACAGAGCAGCTGGTGGGTTTGAACCACTGATCTTCTGGTTAGCAGCCAAATGCCTTAACCTCTACACCACCAGAGCTCCTTTACTGGCATATAATAGGCACCAAATAAGGAGCTCTGGTGGTGTAGTGCTTATGGCATTTGACTGCTAACCAGATGGCTGGTGCTTCAAACCCACCAGCCACTCCTCAGAAGGAAGACTGGACAATCTACTTCCATAGAGATACTGCCTTGGAAACCCAAGGAGGGGTAGTTATGACTCGGATCTGACTTGACAGCAGTTAGTTTGGTTTTGCTTGGTTTTGGTGGTGCAGTGCCTAAGGCATTTGACTGCTAACCAGCTTCAAACCCACCAGCCATTCCTTGGAAGGAAGACTGGGCAATCCACTTCTGTAAAGATATACAGCCTCAGAAACCCAATGGGGGTCGCTGTGGTCGGAATCAACTCGACAGCAGTGAGTTGGGCTTTTGGTTTTAATAGTTTAGGTAACTTTCAGCACATTCTGAACACACTCATAAATGCATATGATTTCTAAATAAGCTTTCACAGATGCAAAAAAGTAGAACTGTGGACTGGCATACTAACTGGTCAGTGCTAAGCCCTGCTAGTCTGGTAACTTACGGCCAGCTGCTGCTGCAGGGATTTCACCTGGTGCTGCAGAGCTTCCACCAGTTGACTCTGTCTCTTGGTGGGACTCCCACTCATGTAAGTCAGTTGTGAAATGCCATTGAGGGCCTGTTTTAGTCGTTCTACATCATTAAGCAGTTCCGTGATCTTATTAAAAAAAAAAGAAGAAACATTATTTATTTATTCATATATACTGAACATCTCTGCACAGAAATCATTCATTATCTGAGAGGTAAAACTTATCTTCATATGCCAGAAAACTGAGCTATGAATATTGACAAGGTTGTTATGAATTATATAGGTATACAGCATATACCTTAATTTCTCCAATTATACTCCTCAGTAAATCCCTTACAAAGGCATTACCAAATTAAGAATAAATAGCATGTGTACACTAAGATTTAACTATGACATGAGTCATCTTGATTTCAACTATGACATGAGTCATCTTGATTTTTAGATAATCTTTAAGTGCTCATGAAGGTTCATAAATTATCTTCCAGATCAGGGTTGCAGCATAGGAAAACAGAGTGCATCCCTCCAATAAAGTTTGAAAAGTAAAAGAACATGGCATGTGTAAGTCTAGCATTAACTAATTTGCTTGGTTCCATTCAAGAATACGCATTATTTCCCTAGTCACCCTTTGGGCCTGGATTGGACTCACTCTCACGGCATAACTCTCAGCCAAACAGTAGACAGGCTTACGAGTTGAACACCTACACCAGGGAGATGCACTCCTTAGAACAGTCAACCATGGGAAATCTGAATGGCAGACTTTGCAGAGGGAGAGAGCTAAGGAGGCAGGAACGCATAGGAAAGAAGGACACAGGGAAAGGGTAACCACAGGAAGGAAGTGGGAAGAGAGCTGTTACACTGTGGGGACTGTAAACAGTGTCACAAAACAAAATGTGAATTAACTGTTGAATATAAAACATATCTGCTTTGTAAAGTTCCACCAAATCACAATTGGAAAAAAAAGAAAACAATATGCATTATTTTAGATTACCTTGCCTTAAAGAAAAATTATGGAGGCTGTTTAGAGTAGTGGAAGGAACACAGCCTTTAAAGACAGACTAATCTGACATTTACTAGCTGTGTGAGCCTGGGTAACTCCTTTACTTTTTTGAGGCTTAGTTTCTTCATTAGTGAAAGGGGTAAAACCTTTCCGAGTTAAAAGAAATCAAATGCAATAATAAATGCATGCCTGACACACAGTACATGCTCAGTAAGTGGCAACGGTTATAAGCAGGTATCATTGAGTTGATTTCATGGCAGAGCAGAACTGCTCCAGGTTTTTAAGGTTGTGACCTTAAAGCAGATTGCCAGACCTGTATTCTGAGGTGCCTGAGTGGGTTCAAACCTCAAAACTTTCAGCTAGTAGTCGAGCACATAACCATCTGTGCCACCCAAGGGCTCCAAGTAGATATTACCTACTAGCTATTCATAACAACCTTCCAAACAAGCTAAGGGCATTTTCATTCTGGGTCGTATAGTACTTGTACCTCTCCACTGAGAAGGCTAGAATTATGTCTGCTTTAATTACTCATTGTATCCCTAGCATTGAACATAGGACCTGGCATGTAGAAGACACTTAATAATTAAATACAAATGTATGCTTTCTTTCCCTGATTTCTCATCTTCATAGTACACACTTTATGTAACTATATATAAATATTTATATAACCACAAAAAATTTTGCTGAGCACCTATTCTATAAATGGTACCATGAGAACGAACGATAAGAAGAAAAGAGGAGTTACAAAAACTTGCTCTTAAAATTGGCTGGGAACTGAGTTTGTTAATGGTGGTGGAATAATTTAGAAACAGAGAGTGGTGATAGTTGTACAACATGATGAATATAATTAATGTCACTGAATTGTATACGTAAAACTGTTGAATTGGCAAATGTTTTGTTATATATATTCTTGACTACAATAAAACAATTTAAAAAAAAACTGGTTGGGAAGATCAATCACAGAAAACTACCACAGTGATACAGATGCTTTAAATGGAGGGCAGAGCCCACATATTTTGAAGAGTAGTAGTTTGCTATAGGTTAGGTTGGACAGCGAAAGCTTTAGGCATAAGGATTAGTGTTAAAATGTGTCTTAAAGAACGTATAGGATTCAACTCAGTAGGAAGGAGGGGCAAGGCATTCTGGGCAAGGGAACCAGTCTGTAGAAAGATATGGGGTGGGAACAAAGGAATCAGAAGGCTTGGTTTACTGGTATGGGTGAGGGCTAAGATCAAGCTTTGGATGCTCCCCAGTGGCCTTGGCTTCTTACAGCCCAGAAAGAGTTTTTTATATTTTCCTCCTCTCCATTCCCATTCTCCAAATGCCCTAAAACCCACTGGATTCTAACTATTCATCTATGAAGCAAGGGAACCTTGAGTCTCCCTTTCATTCCTCAATCCTTGACTGTACCAGCTGAGGGAACAGAAAGAAAAATCCTTTTGATTTTTGTGTGTGTGACTTTACTGTCTTTCAATTCAGAATGTTTTTGTACACCACTGGTCAAACTGGAAAGTAGCTTTTAATGGTTACTTTGTTAACAGTTTTCTAAACCTGTCTACAATACTATGGGGAAAAAAGAAAAAAAAAAAGGTTGCTATGGAGTCAATCTCAACTCATAGCAACCAGACATGACAGAGTAGAACTGCCTCAAAGGGTTTCCAAGGCTGTAATCTTACAGAAGCAGACTGCCACATATTTCCCCCGTGGAGCAGCTGGTGGTTTTGAACTGCTGACCTTCTGGTCAGCAGCCAGGTGCTTAAACACCACTAGGGCTCCTTAGTACTATGGCAGAGTCCTACTCCGCTTCTACTCTTGACAGTTCCGCTTTGGGTTTCCAACTCATAGCAAAGCAAACGACTTTGTGCCTACCTTATTATCTTTTGCTTCGATTTGTTTAGCAGATTCCTGTATTCTCCTCTGTAACTCTGTGATTGTTGTCAAGGACTTATCACATCGTTCTTTCTGGTCCTTGATTTCTTGCTCAATGCTAAAATGTAGGAATTCCTTCTCATCTTTTGCAGAGAGTTGCTTCTTTTTGGCGTGCAAAACCTCCTCGCGCGCGTCCTCGTACTTTCTATTTAGGTTAGCCAATTTTTCATTTAGGTTGGAGATCTGTGCCTCCAAATCGCTTTTCATTGTTTTAAATTTAGACAAATCAACAACCTCTCTAGTCTCTAATTTTTTTAACGCTTGTTTAGTTTGATGAACCTCAGACTGGAGTTTGGAGACTTCCTCAATTTTGTTTTGGCTTTCTTCTTCCTTTTCTTTCAAGCTAGCTTTCATGATTCCAACTTCTTTCTCAAATGCTTCCTTAATTTGCAGATGCTCCAGCAGAGGTACAGAAGAGTTCTTTTGATTCTCCAACATTTGTTGCAGTTTGGTCACTGTCTGCTGCTCTTTCTCATAACATCTTTGCTTATTCTTCAGCTCTTCCCTTAGAGTCTCAATTGTGCCATTAAGAGATTTCTTCAGAGCCTCAACCTGCTCCAGTGGAACCGGCTGTTTCTGCAAAAGAGTTTGTGCTGCAAGTATCTCTGAAGTCCGTTTGGCATTTTCTTCTGCTAGCTTCTCTTTCTCATTCTTTACCTCCATGTATTTCTGTGACAAGTCCTTTAGCTGTTTGTTTAGGTCTTCTGCTTTTCTGCTTAATGTTCTTTCTGTTCCATGAGAATTCTCAATAAGAACATTCTTCTCCTTTAAATCTTTCTGAAGGGACAGAATCTCCTTCTTTAACTTTTCAATCTCTTGTTTGCATTTCTTGGCCTCCTCTTCGCTGACACTATACTTCTGTGTCTGTTCTGATAACTGTTCTTTTAGTTCTTTCTCTACTGCTTTAAATTTTCTCTCACACTCTTCAAAGCTGTTAATTGGAGCATATTTTAGCTTAACGCATTCTTGTATTGTGTCAAGTTCCTTCTTCTGGGCTTCAATTTCAGCATGCAGCCTCACAATCTCTTCTTGGCTTTTTTTGTAGTTAGCCAATATTTCAGCATTGTTATCCTGCACCTTTTTCATGTTCTTACTTACAGTACTCATCTTCTCCTCATGCTCTTTTAGGCTGATGTACTCAGCTTTCAGTTGGTGCTGAGTGCTTTCCAGGTTTCTTTTTAATGTATTATTCTCATCTTTTATCTTTAGAAGGTTTTGATTTTTATCTTCAAGTTTTTTCTTCAAGTCTAATAATTCTCTGTTAGTTTTATCTAATGTGCTGCTCAATGCAGTTTTTACCTCTTCATGGGTTTTAACTGGCACATACTGATTACTGAGAGTCTTCTTCAAGTTAGTGTTTTCAGACATGAGTGTATGTATCTTTTCTTGGTCTTCACCATATTTTTTATTAAGTTCAGATAGCTGTTTCTTAAGTTCAACAATGCTGGACTGCAGAGCCATTGTCTCTTTTTCGTATTTCTCAGGAGGTATGAACACAGATTCCAAGCGGGTAACATTCTTATTTAAATTGTCATTTTCCATCAGCAACTTCTCTACTTCCAACTTCTTGTCAGAATATTTTTGTGTTACATCTAAAAGCTTTCTATTCAAATCATCAACAATCATATCATGTGACTTCTTCATTTCTTCACTTACTTTTACAGGAACATACTGACTTTTCATTTCAACTGTTAAGTTATGTACTTGCTGGCTGAGGAGTTTATTATCCAGATAAGCCTTCTCAATTTCCTTTTGTAGTGTCTGATTTTTCAATGTCAATTCGGTGCTCTTCTTCCCAAGTTCTCCCAATTTTTGCTCTAATCTGCTCTTGAGCTGTTCATGCTCCTCTGGTTTGACATGCTGAGCAAGCTTAGCCTTAAAGTTCTCAAGTTCTCTCTTTAATTGTCTAATTTCACTAAGAGAGTTTTCATAGTCTCTTTCCATCTCTACTAATCGTTTTGCCTTTTCACTTACTTCATTTGATAATAAGCTCTTCATGTTTTCAAATTTTTCTGTTGGAATAGAAAGGGCTAATCTTGCTACCAATTCTTTTAACTGACCTTCCATCTCGGCGACCTTTCTGCCTTTCTTCTCTTGCTCCACTTGACACATACTAAATTCCTTCTGCAATTGCTTATTTTCTTCTATCAACTTGCCTTCCTCCCTCTTAAACTCTTCTACTAACATTTCATTTTGTTTGATTTGGTTTCTTAATTTTCCCACTTCTGCCGAAGCACCTTCATACTTTGCTTTCATGTTTTTCAACTGATCCTTCAGTTCCTCCATTAATCTGTTATTCCCTGTAGCTGCTTCACTTGTTAGATGCTCTTTAAGGGCGAGAAAATGTGTCTGCATTTGTTTAACTTTACCTTCTGACTCATACATTCTCTTCTGCACATCTTTTAATGCATCTTCTAATTGCTTTATCTGATCATCTGAATCCTCCTTGACTCTTTCACATTCTAGTGCTAAAGCTTTGCACTCTGCCACTTTGTGAGCCAGTTCATTTTGGAGCTTGAGTCTGTCTTGTTTTGCTGAATCACAGAACGATCTCATTGCTTCCAACTCTTTCTTTAAAATCTCATTTTCAGAATATGAGGTTTGACCAGGTAAAGACAGCTCCAATGGTCTTAACATAGACCTGCTTTGCATATGGGCCGGCATACCTGGGGCAGTACACTGAAAACGGGGGAAAAAAAAAGATATCAATCACAAGACCTAAACAAGACATTTAATAATATGCCAAATTTATGGAAAGTTTGCACATTGTCTACAGTCAAAGAGTTTTCTGGCTAGTATATTGGAAAAATGTAGTACTTATTTTTGAGGTAAGAAAAAAAACATTTCTGGATATGATTTCCTTCATACGCTCTTAAAAGGTGATATTTTGAGAGGTCTATTCACTGAAGTCTATTTCTGACAAAAGAAGGAAAATATTTGTCATCTCTGGAAGTATTTTCTCTTTTTTCCACATTCGTAATTCCTACACACATTATCAACTTTATCAAAACACATTTCTTATTTCTACATCTTTATGGCACATAACTGCTTACGCAAAAAATGCAACCACTGCCATCAAGTCAGACTCGACTCATAGTGACCCCTCCTTGGGTTTCCAAGGCAGTTATCACTACAGAAGTAGGACTGTCCAACCTTCCTTCCGAGGAGTGGCCAGTGGGTTCGAACCTCCAGCCTTCTGGTTAGCAGTCAAATGCCTTAGGCACTATGCCACTAAAGCTCCCACAACTTTGAATTTTAAAGAAAGCAATCAGAACCTTTGAGTGAAAACAAGTACTGCAATTTTAAATCTACAAACAGTATCACAGAATGATATATCCTTGAATTTCTAATAAAACATATGACTTATGAGTATCCTTATTGTTAACTTCAATGTAATATTGGATAAATTACAAAAAATATCACCAAATTAAGCACATCTGGTATAAGAGCTGTCAACTGAATGTTGTTAGTTAACTCATAAAAAACAAACAAGATTTTTCTCCCAAGTAGGAAGATGAATGAGAACTTAGCACATGATCTTAGTACAATCTGACTAATACCATTTCTCCCATTAAGCTCTAACAACAACAAAAAGGTGTGATTAAATTTCTCACGAAATAGTTAAAAATATCAGAACACACAATCATAAAAGAGACTAAATTTAACTAATTTTGTTTTTTCCTATATAGCCTATTAAGATAAAGGTTCTTTACAAGCACTACTTCATTGGTAAAAGCCATGTGCTATGAGTACCTCGCACTGTTTAATAGGCATGCTTGCTAGTGTTCAGTTAAATCTGAACTGCCCTTCACTGGATCAAGAGGGAAAAATGGACAACATGGAATCACTTCCAAGCCTCAGTCTGCTTCTAAATTATCTTTCAGCTTACCAATTATCTTTAGATTAAGACTACTATAATTTATCAACTAATTATTACACTGCTTCACAACCTCAATGCTTGTGTTATTACAATCAAATAGTTACCTAAGCTCAAATACTACTCGGTGATATCTACTCTCACAATTTAGAATCTTATAATTTTTTATTTGAAGAGATCTTAGACATCCATTTAGGCTAACTCAACTTGCCTATAGATTAGGGTATGTGAAAAACCCTTAGTATGTCAAATATTTACCAGTTCTCCCATCCATACATGAGCTCAAAATGCAAAACTTGTATCCACTGGAAAATAAAGGCAAGGAGCAGATAAATAAGTAAGAAAATCAGCCAATATTCTACCTCTTGGAAACCTTCATAAAGAAGGTCTGTGGTAAATGCCCCAAACACAGAGTAAATAATATATTTGAATGCAAAGAGAAATGCATTTCAGAGCCAAAATAAATTACTTTTGTATGATTCATGCCTGTGTCTCCCTCTGTATGGGCAAATATCAAGAGCTAACTGAATGCTGTTAATGAATAGAGGCTTACAATCAAAGACAATGATTGCAAATCCAATCTTTTATTTAAGCCACTGTCATCAAAAACACTCTAGAGGGCACCAGAAACAGCAGTATCTGTTTTTATTAAACTCAGTAAAGCAAAATTAATTTATCTTTGATTTGAACACCTTAATAAATGTATATACACTTAATGAATATACAATGCTGTTTTCCACTTTATATTAAGGCTTTTTTTTTTTTCATTTTTTTTAATTTAAAAATAGTATTACCTGTGAGTCTGTCATGTACATTTGGCTTTGTTTAAGAAGTATATCTTCTTTTCCTAAACAAGTACAAATAAATGACATTTTAACTAAATATCTCTACCAAAGTAGGCAATAGTCATTTGGTTTATTATCTCTCATTTATTACGCAAACAAAAGAGAAGTATAATTTGCAACATAAAAGTATTCTGTTCTCTTGTTATTGTTGAATGCCATCCACTTGATTCTGACTCATCGGGACCCCATGTGACAGAGAAGAACTGCCCCAAAGGATTTGCGAGGCTGCAATCTTTATGGGAGCAGATCACCAGGTTTTTCTGCCACCACTGAGTCAGACAGAATCACCCACCTTGAGATTAGCAGCTGTGCAACTAACCCTTGCACCACTTATTCTAATATATCCGTATTTTTCCGTATTATTTCTACAAATGTAAGGAAAATATCTACATTCTTCCGGACAGTAGGTACTGATTGTGAAAACAATATAAGATTACTAGACTAAATAAGCTATATCATTATTATAAAATATGTATATTACAGTCAAAATAAAAATGGTATTCTTGGCAATTTATAGGACAAATACTACTACTGCATTTAGAATCATCATGGGAAACAACAAAAAAAATTGATTTTCTGGATAAATTGTTTAAAACTGGGAAATAATAAACAAATGCAAGTATTAATTATGTATAGTTTTTAATGATTAATAAATAATTGTTCATGGAGTTGCTAAACTTAATATGCTTACTTGCATTAGGACTATATCGAAAGATTTCCCCAAATCAGAAAATAATGTTTTGTTACTTTCCATAAAAACCAAGCCCCAGATCACAAGATAAATGGCTACTAAACGCAAGGCAACTTTGGTAATTGCATACAACATGCAATTTACAAATATAGGCGACTGAGGAAAAACAGAACCTCAGTGGTTAGCAGATTTTACATCAGAGGCTACAGCAATCTTAAAATGCACCTAGCTCCATCTCCCCAGCTACACCCCATAAGTAGTTGGGTGAAGTTTTGCAGCAGGAGTGTCACATACAGTTAGACAAAAGAAAAAGGCATGAACATTCTTCTTTGCTTGAATTGGGTGAAGTGCAACAATCTATACTTTTATACTTACGGTTACTGAAATGACTTCCTGATGCTAAATGATCACTCTGAAATCAGAAATATAAATTAAAACATTTTAGGTGAATGTTGTTTCATTTAACATTTTTCTATCTACTTTAGCTCTCAACAATCCAATTATTATAAGCACATCCTCGACATTCCTTGCTTCTCCTAAGTATTATTGCACTTGAACCATGGAAAGACATCAGACTAGAGACTCTTAGAGAAATCAGTTGGGAATAAACTACTTCACTAAACATTTTAATAAAAGCAGCCCAAGTGTTTCAGGGAAAACACTTTACTGCTCAAAAGAAAAAAATGAGCCCTAAATGAACTGAAACAATTCTCAATACATAGTGTTTGCTCCGTCTTTACCTCTAAGAAAGAAATGCCACATTCACATAAAGGACTCGTTTTTACTGTAACTGTTATTGGGAGTGGGGACCCTACCTCATCAGTTATAAAACCTTCTTCCTTCAAAATTTCTGGAATACCGATTACTTTTAAAGCAAAGGGAAACAGGTTGGGACATAAAACTGGAGGCAAGGACCTATCCACAGTTAGTAATAAATCCATCTATGTATCAGTTAGGAAAGAGAATAGTTCAGATCTGAATCACAATATACTTGTATTACTCCTTTCCCAAGTAACACAAAGTATCTAAAATATAAATTCAAATATTATACTTCAAGAGTAAGGATCTGCATTTGTATCTGTTTTTGTGTAACAGTGTGTATCATTACTAACAGGCTATGTATCAAACTCTGATTTATGTGATCACTATAAAAACTGTGCAGATCTATAAATAAATTAATGCCACTTCCAGGGATCCTTATGCCTCAAGGGTCTGGAAAAATACCTGTGAGCTTTGTTAAACTCATTGTTCTTTGCAATATCTCAATGGGTTCAAACATGTATGTGGGAGTGGGACCCCAGACACTGAAAAAGTTCAAAAAACTTAGTTTGGGTTTATTATCTTTCCTTCACCACTTAAATGAAAACAAATGCACGAGTGAGAAAATTAATCTCATTCTGAAATATCCTATTTTCCCATTTTTTTGTACAAACATAAGGAAAATAACTACCTATGAAGTATTACACATAATACAGTAATTCTATTGAAAGCATACGAAGTTTTTAAACATATAAAATAATGTAGTAATTGGATATTCAATTTTTGTAAATGATGAATTCTTAGTTGTTAATGGCTACTTTCATAAATACAAGGTCACATATAAAGTAAACCAAAACACCAAACTCACTGCCGTCAAGTCGGATCCGACTTATGGCAACCCCTCCTTAGGTTTCTGAGGCGGTATCGCTATGGGAGTAGATTGCCCAATCTTCCTTCTGAGGACTGACTAGTAGGTTTGAACTGCCAGCCTTCTGGTTAGCAGTCAAATGCCTTAGGCACTATGCCACCAGAGCTCCTACATATAAAGTAGGCCCTGTAATTTTCTTTCTTTCTCTAAATTTTATTTATTTTACTGTTGTTGAAAATATACCCACATACACAATGAAACATACACCAATTCAACAGTTTCTATGTATACAATTTAGTGCCATTGATAACATTCTCTGAGTTATGCAACCATTCTTACCCTTTCTTGAGTTTGTTCTCCCTCATTAACATAAACTCACTGCCACCCCCCACTAAAGTTGCTATCTAGTCTTTCAGGTTGCTGTTGTCAACTTGATCCCATACAGGAAGTTTTTAACGAGCTTTTACTAGTTAAGCTAAACTACTGTTCAGCTTTAATATGATTTCAGGGGATATTTTTGGTTTAAGGTTTAAAGATCATATCTGGGCAATAGTTTCAGGGGTTCATTCACCCTCCATCGCTCCAGAAAGTCTAAAACTTATTTCTAGTTTAAAAATTCACCACAATGAATATGTAGTGGTTGAAGAAAATGTCCCCAAATATTTTGAGTAAAAAAAGTTACAAAATAGGATCTATAATATGATCCCACTTGTTAAATGTATATACTCAATAAATATAACAATCAAGTTATGTACTAAGAAAAGGTCTCAAAGGATAGCCTCCAAGTGAAGCGGTAATTATCACTGAGCACTGGGATTATAAGTGTTTTATTTGTCTGCTTTTAGCTCAACTATACTTTCTAATTTTTCTAATATATATATTAAGAAAAATAAGTTATTGTTCTATAATTTATCAGACTTTACTGAAAGTTACAGACTTGACTCTTAAGTTTGTCTAAAGAAGTTACAGAAAAACATTTGATTCTTTAAGACATGACAAAGATTCTATCAAATTATGGGTATCAGACCTTGATGAATACTTCAATAGGTCCATATATATTCATCTATATTTTCCCATTCAAGCTACTCTAAGAGTAAAACTAGTATTGTGGTTAAGAACACAAAGGAGCAAGATTGCCTGAGTTCAAATCCAGTCTCTGCCACTTACTATTTTTGAGACCCTTCCTATGTAAGTTTTTTAAAAACCTCTCTGTGCCTCCATTTCCTCATGTAGAAAGTTAAGAATAAAACCTATTAGATAGAGTCAATGTGTTTATTAAATGCATGTGAAGTGGACAGAGCAGTATCTGGCACTTGGTCATCAGTGCTAGGTTAGTTACTATTAGTTTCAATATTACCCTTAAAAGAGTCTTCAGATGTGAAAAAGATGGAAGCCATTAAATCACATCAATCTTTAGTTTATAAAACTGTGGTTTTGAATAATCTTGATCCTATATGTACAGACATATACATATTTTTAGGTATAAAACACTATTTTTTCCTGTATTAAAAAAAAAAAATTATGAAGGCTTAACTCACAACTATTAAGTGTAGTATACAGTTCAATGAATTTGTGTGTACATATACCTTGTGTAATCACAACCCAGATCAAGATATTGAACATATCTAAGACCCTCATAAGCTTCTTCACGCCCCATCCTAGTTAGTAAGCCCTCAACAGAGGGTGGCCTCTATTCTTTCCTCTATCACCAGATTAGTTTTGCCTGCTTTAGAATTACCTAAAAATGGAATCATACGTATATATTCTATATGCTTGATTTCTTGATACATTATGTCATTTGTGTTTTTATATTCTTTTTCATAGTTGCACACATATTTTTTGCTTATAAAGAAAAAAGAATATTTTTGTTATATACTTGCAAATCAGCCATCTCAATGAACAATAGTTATGAACTATATATGCCTTGCAAAATTAATGTATACAGTTAAAAGTCATAAGTGGTTACCACTGGTGTGAGTAAGTGGTGACAGAAATTAAACTATACACAAATAAGTCCTTTCTGAGATAACCCTGAAATACTACTATTCATTACTATAATATTGTATTATCATCAACATCACAATTTTACAGGTATGAAGTTTTGGAAAGGTAAAGACGGACAAAGAAGAAGGTTGGGGAAGAAAAACTAGAATTGAATGAAATGTCAGTTACATGCCAGTAACTTTCAATTATCTCATTTAACCTTTACAACAACTCTATGGAAAAAGGGGGAGCTCTGGTAGCATAGTGGCTAAGGCACTTGACTGCTAACCAGAAGGCTGACGGTTCAAACCCACTAGCCACTCCTCGGAAGGAAGGTTAGGCAATCCTACGTCTGTAGTGATACTGCCTCGGAAACCCAAGGAGGGGTCGCTATGAGTCAGGGCTGACTTGATGGCACATAACAACAACAACATGGAAAAAGGCTACTTTTGCTAAAGAGGCAACAAGCTCAGAGACTTTAAATAAATTACCTGAGGTCATGCTTTAGAGAAAAGGGAATAATCATTCAAATGCAAGTTTGAGTCCAAGCCAACTTCCCACTCAAAAAAACTCACTGCTGTTGAGTCGGATAGGACTCATAATGACCCCTCCCCTTGGGTTGCCAGGTGGTATCACTACAGAAGTAGATTGCCCAACCTTCCTTCCAAGGAGTGGTTGGTGGGTTTGAACCGCCAACCTTCAGTTAGCAGTCAAATGACTTAGGCACTACACCACCAGAGCTCCTAACTTCCCACTACTCACTGCGAGTTGTATGAAATAATTTAAGTTAATTGTCTGTACCTCAAAATACTTAAATCTATTTTTCAGAGCGTCAATAGTTCTTAAGCTTTCTTCATGTTGCTTTTCTTTAGCAGCCAAAAGGGACTTCAGCTTTTCTTTCTGAAATGGAAAGAAACAAAAACAGAGCAAAATCACCTGCATTTAAAATTGGGTTACTATGTGTTTTATAAAATGTGAATTAGAATTACTTTAAGGATTGGAATTAGCAATGAATTCTCCAACCTAATGGATTTTAATTATTAGTAGTGTTAATACTTCCTAAAATATATTAATAAAACATACAATGCATACATAAATTAGTGTGAAAAAATAATATTTCTGTGGCTTTAATGGTAGTATTTTCAGACATTTTAAAAAATGTTTAGCACTTTACACATTCTTTCATGAAAAGATTCACAAAAAGTGAGCCATTCAAAGGTCTAGGATAACCCATGCCATGATACTGAGAGCATGCATTTACAGTCATGTAAATGGTTTTTTCCCCCTTTAAGTAATAATTAAAACTAATATACTGCTCTCTAACTCAATTCAGTAATTAAATCTTCTACTAATATCATCTTCAACAAACAAAACATTACAGATTTAAGATAAAATGATAATCCTACCTCACTTTCCAGATCATCAGCAACCATTACTTCCTAAAGTAAAAATGAATAAGAAAAAATTTATTTTAATTCTTGAAAGCTTACTTTAAAAGGCACATATTTTTAAGACTAGGAGGGAACAAGGATGTGAGAAGAAAATGTCTGTGTATTACCAGTTCTGTTATATCAGTTATTGCCATTCTTTCTTCTCACCAGCCAGGCTCAGAAGTACTTGTGATTCTTCTGAGAACCGATCAATCACCACCAAGTCCTACTTGCTCTTTCTCTTCACCACCTCTCCAATCCCACAGCCCCAAATACAGTTCAGTCCTTTGTTATTAGCACACACCTTAAGTTATTGATAGGAGCTCTGGTGGCATAGTGCCTAAGGCATTTGACTGCTAACCAGAAGGCTGGCAGTTCAAACCCACCAGACACACCTTGGAAGGAAGACTGTGCAATCTACTTCCATAGAGATACCACCTTGGAAATCCAAGGAAGGGTCGCTATGAGTCAGATCTGACTTGACAGTGCGTTGAGTTGTGTTGCATTATTGATAATCACCTTTTTTTGCTTTAACTTTTTTAATAGTGAAATATATCACATTTTCATGAGTATATATCATGTACTATTTCAATATTTTAAATATTATTTAATGGGTAATAAAATGACAATCATGATATATTGAAAGGAATATATATTCTCTATTTCTTAAGTCCAAGGTTAAATATATATGTATATTAGATCAAAACTGTTAATTTTGTTGCTCAAAGCTGCTATGTCATGAGCTATTCTATAGAGAAGCCCTTATGTAAAGATCCTGGTCCCAACTAAGATATAACTCCTTAAGGGCAATGACCTGATTGGATCTAGTTTATCTACTATAACACCCTATACCATGACTTGGATATGATAAGTAATCATTAACAATCTCTTATTATGATGGCTGTTGTTCGTTGTCATTGCCTTCAAATCAATTCTGACTCATGGGGTCCATGACTGATGATGGTTGTTGGTAGGAAACCAGTTTTTGGATTTTTTTTTTTTATTATTAGGATTTGGGTGAAGATTTACAGAGCAAATTCACTTTTCATACAGCAGTTCACACATACTTTGTCTCATGCCATCGACCAAAATTTACAATGCAGCAGCTCCCCTCCCAC